CGCAGCGGCTCCACGTTCTGGGCGGAGAGGTCGACGTCCAGCCGCCCTTCGAAGCGCAACCTCGCCCCCTCCCCGCCCCGTCCCCCGGGTGGGTGAGGATGGGGGAGGGGGAGAAGTGCCAAGGTGAGGCGGACGGGCCCACCTCGAGCGGGCGGGGGAAAACAGAAAATGATGGCAATTGGCGCCTTAAGGTCTTGAAGGGCTGAGTTGTGGAGGTACGTTGGCACCCCTCCCTACTGCTGTCTTCGTTGGGGGCCGTAGGGAGAGCCTCGGCCCCTCCAGTGACAACTGACGCCGTGATGTATTGGTGCATTAGTGGAAGAGGGCGGCTCAAGAGGCCCCGATGATGGCAGCCGCAAGGGGTGTGAGGCCTATGATGGTCCTCACGGATGAGGTCTATGATGGTCCTCACCAGGGTGGGATGGCGGATTTGGATGTCCGAGAAACAAATATGCTCGAGGGACCAGGTGGTCCTAGGGCGGGAGTTCCTGAAAAGGAGGGATGACATACAAAACCGGCATACCCAGCTTCGGCACCGAACTTTAGTAGGCATGATGCGGGCCGCTGCCAATTCGTAGAGCCGGAGACGCATTCGGACAGCTCAAAAGGACTGTCCTGTTTCGGAAGGGGCCCGATCAAAGAGCGCTTGGAGCAGGGCTGACCTAGTCCGAGGGCAGCACGACGTCTGTGCCGCCGTCTTTGCTCGGCTTGCTCCCCTTCTTCTGAGCAAGGGGAAGGCTAGAAAACAACTCACGGACGCTGTTTGTCGCCCTCGTGGCCTGGTAGCGCGTCCAATCGCGAACACAATGGACATGGTGCATGTCCCTCACGTGGCGCTGTTGGGCGCTCTCGGTAGCTAACAGGCGCTACTTGAGCGGCACTGGGCGCCATTAGCCGATGCACACTCAACCCAAGACAAACAGAAACTGAGCGCAACGCACAACGTGCAACCGCTGGAACCCACTATCGATCCACCCCACTGGTATCCGTGGCACCAGAAATAACGCATGAATTCCCAGGGGGGGCGCCGAACGAGATCTTTAGCACTCCCAATGATTAATTAAATTCCATTCCGCCAGAAACCTGAGGAAACCATGGGAACTCGGAGGTACCAACAGGAATCCTCCAGGAGTCCTTGAAGAATCTGGAAGAATCCTCTGTACCCCCCACGGATCCGCCAGGAGTCGGCGGCACACCTGCAGGAAGCCTGAGGAATCTTCAGCAACCGGCAGGAATCCTTGGGAGCCCGCAGGAATCCTCACAACCCTGGGACAATCTGAACATATCGCACTTCCATCCCTGCTCGAACCTCCATCCTCGATCCTGAGACGTTCGCAGACTCTTTGCACCTAGGGGAGGATGGGCTGTACTGAAATTGCCAGGCTGACTCACCTAGCTGAACTCCTGGCTCGGGCTCACTGGAAACTCCTCTAGGTGAGGGGCCTCAGTGGCCTCAGACAGTCCGCCACGTTCATCCAGTTGCCATTTCAGCCAGCTGCTCGTTGCCTATTTGGTTTTGCCGGCGGAGATCTTCAGGAATCCTCACTGATCTCGATGGGAACGGCGGGAATCCTTCAGGAATCCGCAGGAATCCTCTGAAATCCTTCAGGAATCTTCCAGCAAATCATGGAATCAGGTGCCCACAGATTCCTCACGGATTCCTCAGGAAACCGAGAGATCCCTCAAGAATCATTCCAGAATCCTTCAAGAGTCACTTGGGAAATGTTCAAGAATCTTTCACGAATCCTCTATTCTCTTCAAACATCTTCAGGAATATTTACGGGATCCTCACGGGATCTTTCAGGTATCCACGATCCCAAGGAATCTTCAGGCATACTGAATAAACCGCTGGAGCCCCAGGAATCAACCTTTTTGGAATCCGCAGGAATTTTCAGGACTCACCAGGAGCCCTCAGGAATCCTTCGGACATCTCTCCGGGAATCCTTGCGTATCCCACGGGAAACCGGCAGACAAAAATCCCCGGGAAACCTCGGGAACCCCTTGGGAACCTCCACGAGCCTTCAGGCCTCCCCCCCTTCTTGAGGAACCCGCAGGGACCCCTTTCTGAGCCCTCCGGGACGGCTTATACACCTTCATGTCCCTCCTCAGGAACCCTCATTGAGACGAGGGAGCCATCAGGAGGAGGAGGAGGAGGAGGAGGAGGAGGAGGAGGAGGAGGAGGAGGCGGAGAAGGAAGAGGATAAGCAGGAGGAGGAGGAGGAAGAGGAGGAGGAGGAGGAGGAGGAGGAGGAGGAGGAGGAGGAGGAGGAGGACACTTTTAGGAGCCATCAGGAAACCTCATTGAGACGAGACGCACATCCAGGGCCCCGCGATCTCGCCGTGGGGGGGGGCTGCCAGGCTCGCCTTTTGCACGGCCAGTCAGGCGCGGGTGGGCCAGAGCGGTTCCGCGCGCGCTCAGCGGCGCGTAGGAGAGGAAGGCAGACGAGGGGGACGATGACGGCTGACGAGTTAGGACGACCGAAACGATCGAAGGCATAATTCCTCACCCTCCCATGTCTTCCCCGTCGGGGAGGTCGCGGGGGGGACAATTCGTTACGGCCCGCTCCCTTCTCGCACTCTCGGATCCCAGCACTGAAATCCGCTGATCGCGCTGGGCTCCGATAAACATGATTGGCCCCTTCCGCGCTGCATTCGGAGGAGGGCAACGTGAGACAACGGCCGTGAGACAACGGTGGCCAAATCGGCTCAAAATCGGTCCCTGGACCCCTCCCGGGGTCCAAACGCACCGATTTTTCACGCTGCGTCCAGCCGTGGCGACGAGGAGGCCCCTCGGAGGCGAACAAGGCAAAAACGTCACCCTTGTCTCACCCTGCCCTCCTCTGATGCATGTCGCGTTCTTTGCGGAGCGCCATCGCCTCACAACGAGGGGGGCGTCCGGCGCCGGGCTGGGCGAGGGATGCCGTCACTCTGTCGAGCGACGGAGGACGGGGACCGTGCGGAAGGCACGCAGAGCCCAGAGGGGCCGCGTCGGGAGGCCAGGGAGGAGCGAAGGGCTTGTCTCGACTCCAGCCAGCCTCCTCCTCCTCCTCCTCCTCCTCCCCTCCCCCTTCCCCTCCCCCTCCCTCCCCCTCCCCCTTCCCCCCCCCCTCCTCCTCCCCCTCCTCCTCCTCCCTCCTCCTCCTCCTCTCCTCCTCCTTCTCCTCCTCCTCCCCCTCCCTCCTCCCCCTCCCCCTCCCCCCTCCTCCCCTCCTCCTCCTCCCCCCCTCCTCCTCCCTCCTCCTCCTCCTCCTCCTCCTCCTCCTCCTCCACCGTCGGTTGAAACGCCCGGGGTGGCGTCGGCCACGGCGTCGGCTACAGCTCCGAGGCAGGGACGCGATGGGTCGACGTCGGTATACCGTCGCCGGGCGCGGCGTCGGAGGCAGCCTCGGGGTGGGAGCGACGGCCCAGGGAGGGCACAGCGTAGGAGCCGTCGCCGCGGGCGTCGGAGGCAGCCTCGGGCAGGGGGCGCCGGCCCGGGGAGGGAATGGCCCGGCGCCGGGACCGTCGTCGGGGCGGGAGAGAACGGCGTCGGAGACGTCGGGGGCGGCGCCGACGGCGTCGTCGGAGCGAGGGCGTTCGCCCATGGAGGGAACGGCGACGGAGCCGACGCCGGCGGCAACGTCAGGGAGGGAGGGAGAGAGCATCGCCCCTGATGCGGTGCGGCGTCGTGGCCTGCGTCAAGGGCGGAGCAGGGGAGGACGTTGGAGTTGGGGCGTCGATCTGGGGAGGGAACGGCGTCGGGGCCGCAGTCGGGGTCGGCGCCAGAGGCAGCGTCGGGGTGGGCGCGTTGGCCCAGGGAAAGGCGGCAAATGTTATCAGCACGCAGGCGCAACACACACACACACACGCACACACAAACACGAGCACAAACACAAACACAAAAACAAGCATTATCACGAGCACAAGCACATACATACACATACATACACATACATACACACATACACACATACACACATACACACATACACACATACATACATACATACATACACAGACAGACAGACAGACAGACGGACAGACAGACAGACATACATACATAAACACACATACATGCATACACACGTACGGACATACACACGCACACACATGCACACATACACACATACATGCATATACACATACACGCATGCATACATATACACACATACACATATGCACATACGTGCATCCATCTACCATCCATCCGTACATACACACATATACATCATACATCCATGCACCCGTACATCCAACGTCCATGCATCCACAAATCCATACATCCACACATCCTTACGTACGTACATGCACACGTACATACATACACATACACATACCTACCTACCTGCCTGCATACGTACAACCATACATACATATACATAGATTCCCCAATCAGAGCTTGCCTCTGTAGGGGTCCTGGCAGATTCATATGGTTAGGTGAACATTGCCAACGATTTCCGCGGCCCGCCCAGGTGCCCGGGTGCCCAGGGGCCTGGGTGCCTGGGTGCCTTATAGCCCTATAGCCCTATAGCCCTATAGCCTTGTAGGCCTATAGTCCCATAGCCCAATCGCCCTATGGCCCTACAGCCCGATAGCCCAATAGCCCTATAGCCCCATAGGCGTATCGCCTTGTAGCCCTATACTCCTATCGCCATATTGCCCTATACCCCATATAGCCCCATAGCTCTACAGCCCAATAACCCCATAGCCCTATAGCGCTTTAGCCCAATAGCATAGTAGCCCTATAGCCCTATAGCCCTATAGCCTTATAGCCCTATGGCCCTACAGCCCTGTAGCTCGATATGCCTACATCCCTATAGCCCCATAGCCCTATATCCCTATAGCCCTATGGTCGTATAACCCTATAGCCCAATAGCCCTATAGCCCGATGGCCCTATTGCCATATAGCCCCATAGCCCCATGGCCCCAGAGCCCTACAATCCTAGTCCTACGGCCCCATAGCCCTGTAGCCCTATGGCCCTATAGCCCCACAGTTCCATAGCTCTATAGCCCCATAGCCCCATAGCCCTACAGCCCCATAACCCTGTAGCCCTAACAAGACTTTGTGTGGGGGGCGTTTCTCTGGTATCATATGTACATAAAAACGTACATACACACTGCATACATACAGACATGCATGTATGCATATACACATACATACAAACGTACACACATTTACGCATATACACATGCACATACATACATCCATATATACATCCATACGTACACACATCCGTACATACATACGCACATGCACACGTACATACACACGTACACGCATGCACACATGAATACATACACACATGCATACATCCTTACACACAGCCGCATATATATATATATACATACATACACACTGACATACATGCATACCTACATACATACAAACATGCATAATACGTACACTCACACATACAAATATATACGTACATACACATGTACGCATACACACAAACACAAACACAATCACAAACACAAGCACGTAAACAGCCACAACCACACACACAAACGTTACATACATTGTTGGAGGCTCGTTGCGCTTTCAGGCAGACGACACAACGCCGCTTGCAACTCGGCTGATTGTTCGGTAGTGATGGGGGATGGACAGACGCACCGTAGTAACCATTCAAACACCGTGCGCAAGCACATGCACACTCACATACACATGCAAGTCTGGTGATTCGACCCCACCGTCCTCCACAATCACTCCCCGTGCCTCCATGTTCTTTTCCCCTCTCCTCTTCAAGCACAGTCTTGCTACTCCTCCTCTCCCTTTTCATCGTGATTCTCGTCCTTCTATTTCCTATGGCTCCTTCTCGCCCTGCCGCTGGAAGGCTGCTTGCTCCAGTTGCGCATGCCCTGCCCCCATCGGGATCCCTGCCTCAGGATCGGGATACGCGCTCCGAATACTCGTCCTGTCACCTCCGGGGGTGGCTACAGAGAGAGCACCATCGGGACAACGGCAGGAGGCGGAATGAGGTGGAGGGACGGAGGCATGGTGGGAAAAGGGGGAGGGGAAGGAGGAACGCCAGAACATCTTCTGGCAGGCTCGCCATACATAATTTGAATGCGGACCTTATGAGACACCTTGCTGACCGATGGTCTGTCCAGACACCTTCTGGGGAGAAGGAGGAGGAATCCGAATCGAATCGAGCTCTGGGGGCGTTAAGTGATATCGCCACCTCGTGAAAAGCCTGGCCTACTCCTTCCTGGCAAAATCTCGCCAACTTCTAGCAGCAGTCTGCTTGCTTGCAATGGCGCCTTGGGGACCCATCAGGGGATTCGCGATCCTGCCGTGTGGGCATGCACACTGCTCGGGCAATCTGTGGCCCCCCCCCGTTCGCCGACAGAGCTGAGGAGGCCCTCGCACCTGCACGCCTCAGGGTAAGGCCCGAGGTCAAAACAAGTGCGACGGGCCCTCCCCCCCCCAAGATGGAACAATGCCTCCGAGATCGAGGGCGCGAGTAATTTTGGACCGGAGGAGGAGGGAGGATGCTCCAAGGGGGAACGAACGAACGAACCACCAGATTGGAAAGCTGTCCGGGCCTGCTAAGACCAGGTGGGCGAGGCCGTGGCCTCCTGTAAACATACAGACATGCATGACAAGTCCCACTGCGGAAGAGAGCCCATACATCACACGATACGACTTTTTCAATCCAGTCCTCTAGAAATCCCGACCCTTTCCCTGGGGTAGCTTTCCGTCCCGGATCCGTTTCTGATGGTCCCGTAGCCCGAGAACGGGCCCTGGTGGCCGACATCGAACGAAAACGCCCGGACTCCGAAAACATCTCGTCGGAGATCTGGGGGCGAGGATCAGGGATCGGCGGCGACGAGAAGGGCGAATAGCCCAGGGGCGGGCATTGCACGTATTCGCCCGGGAGCCTTGTCGAAGACATAGATCATCGGCGCCCCCGGATATATGTATTGCTCTCCCCTGGGCTATTCGCCCCTACCCATCGGTCGGAAGAAGTAGGTAGAAACATGAAGTAGGAAGGCGTTGGAAATAGATTGGGTTTCCGCCCGCCTCCTGAAGAGGAGGGAAGAGGGAAAACCACTCGACTCTTGAAGTAGGAAGGCGCTGAAAGTAGATTGGAATCTGGGAATCCAAAAATACCTACTTTCAACGACCGATGGGTATCGTCGCCTCTGAGATCAGGGAGGGGACGAGGGCGGAAGGGGAGGAACGAGAACCGGCGCGCTCGCCTCGACGCCCGCGTGTCGCGCCAAGAGCTCCTCCATCTGCTCCAGGCACCGCTGCGCCTCGGACCTCCCGTCCTTCTCGCCACCTCGGTGGCGCGGCGGGGGGGGGGATGGGGGCGCAAAGCCGGGGATCGGGGGGAGGAGGCGGCGGGAGGAGGATGCGCGAGGAGGGAAGAGGAAGGTGAGCATCGTTTATCCGATCCCCATCCCCGCTGGCAGGGCCTTGGCCCCACTGTCCGATCTACTCCCCTGGATGGGGATATAGGCTGTTCCGTTCGGGCTTCGCGGGGCCTGTCCCCAATCGGGGGGGATGTGGGGCTGAGAAACTACGGCCCAGTGGGATGGGGATCGGTCAGACGATACTGACAGGGAGGCAGCTTCTGTGAGTCTTTCGTCAGAACGACAAAGGGCTACTAAGCCAAATGAAGGAGCCATTGAAGCGAACCTGCCAAGATGAAACACAACATCAAACCAGATTAAGCGGAGTTCGCCGGGATTCTGCGACATTTCGCCAGTTCTTGACGATGGATATACCAGCGCGGATGCTGAAACGACATCCTATGTTGCATCCTAGGGAAGGGGGAGGATGGCCACGGGAGGATAGGGATGATGGAGGAGGCAGGAGGAGGCTCAGGGATGCCAGGTGAGGAGGACGGGCGGGAGGGGGCGGAGGGTAGAATGAGGGAGCAGGACGGCGGAACACTTTGTCAGCAACCCGATTTCCCAAATGGCTCAAATACCCAACGGATCACGGGCAGTGGAGGTGGACGCGATGGGTGCAGAGAGGCCGCCACGGCAGAAAGGACCCGCGCATCGCTTGGCCTAGCAGTGCGGAGAGCTGGCCCTGTCAACTCCAACCCAATACGCATGACAACCAACGCATCCATGGATGCCTACGGCCCTTCGCCCCCCTCTCCCCCCATCACAACCATGGCTTGAATGGTAATGGTAAGTAAAGCTCTGTCAAGGCTAGATCTGTCAAATATCTGAAATACCAGGTAGATCGCGGGCAGTGGAGGTGGACGCGATGGGTGCCGCATGGAGGCCACCCTGGTCAAAACGACCCGCGCATCGCTCGGACCAACCACATCGAGGCAATCGCGGACTCACGACCCATCGCGCGAACCTTATCCACCCAGCGTGCGGGTACTTTCATTCAGTTCGGTATCCGACGGCATTGTTGCAATCGGTCCACAATGGTCGACCACCCACTGAAGTAAAAACCGCTGCTTCGTTCAACCAGTCCCTCCGCAGGTACACAAGACAGGCTGGGTTTTTCTATTCGCCCGTCTGCGGCAGAGTGACTAGGGAGCTGCCTGGGTCTGACAGGTCTCTGGCCATTTCCCATCCTAGGGCAGCGTGTAGCGAACCTGACGATGTCCGCAACGCCACCGACACATATCGTCGGAGATCAGCGACGAGCGCGCCGAACACCACTGCAACAATCGTGGCCGAGCCTGCGATTGTAGCAGCCTGGAAGGCCCGTTTCAGGTTGCGATGAGCGTGTGAAGACGAACCTGGTGTTTCACACTTGCGTTCTCCGCGGAACACAAACGGCCCTTGTTCGTTATTCTGTTGGCTGGTTGTCATTGTCTTGGCCCCGTTTTCGCACACCACCTCAAACTGAGACCCGCGATCCTGCAGTGGAAGAGGCTTCGGGAGACACTCGAAGCATAATTAACTAAACGCAACGCCGCAACGCCCATGACCGGCGCAGACTTGATGGCTGCGCTGGCATCGCGAGCCCGGAGGCCCATGCGGGGCCTGGGCGCATGCGCCAGCTTGCTACCCTCTTCTCCGTGCCTGCTGCACAGCGCTGATGCCCCACGAATTCGAAAACCTGCGGAATCGGTGAGCCCGTCGACGGTGATCCGGGTACGTACAGACAGATGGGCATTGTCGAGCATCTCCGCAGCATGCGTAATCTTGCTTTCGGTCGTCGAGAAGTGGCACGAGGTGTTGGAGTCGTCACGAGAAGCACCCAAAGAACGCCATCTGCTGCCACATGATGTTGGGATGGATGCCGTGATCGCCACTATCCTAATCCTCTTGACCTGCTCAATCACCAATTGGTCCACCAGAAGCCGGCCACAGACTCCAATACGATAATCCTTTTCCGCGAGCCTCCCGCTTCGGCCAAATCGCTCATGCCAGCTTCAGCCTTGCGCTCTTGGAGCGTTCTTCTCTTCGGAACGAGGACCAGATCGCACTCGTTCGAACCATCCTCCAACCATCGACCAACCAACCAGGCCGTGCACTCCTCTCTTGGCACCAGCAGCGCGCGCATGACCCACCCGTCGCACGCGTTCTGCTTCTGGAGGGTGGCCTTGCACAGCGCACTGGTAGATGACATTCTGGGGCCTCGGGGGCGCCGGGGTAGACGCAGACGCAGCCTCGTTCACGTCCAAGTCCTCGCTGCAGGCGCTTGTCGTTGGGGCGACAAGCAGCACAAATGTTCCACAATTAGTCAATGGTCGCAGCTGCTGCTGCGACCAAAAGACCGCCACTGGCGCATTAAACATCCACCAAACGGAGAGACCCACCCGCCAGTGCGTTGAGAACCTCCCCCTCCAACTTCAACGTTTAATACGGCTGTGTCTGCGGGTTTAAATTAACTTCCAGATGCCATTAAGAACCCCCCTAGGATTATCAGTACCACCGCACTGCTATTAATAAATTCCAGAGGGGGATTTTGGCCGAATGGTACCTTTAGCCTGGCGACCAAAAAACAATAACAACATTCACGGATTGAGGGCGGCTCGTTTTTAGAATGCGGCTCTCGCCTCAGCGCCGGGCACATCAGTTGTAAACGCTTTGCAAGCGCTGCGCGGATTGAGGGCGGCTCGTTTTCAAACTGTGGCTCTCTCCTTAGTGTCGCGCACATTCGTTTGAACAACTGTGCAGGAGTTTTGCTCCCCCCATGGCGCCGCGCGCATTCGTTTCAACAATTCGCACGAGCTTTACGGGTTGAGGGCGACTCGCTTTCAAAATTTGGCTCTCGCCTTAGCGCAGCGCGCATCCGTTTTGTTATATCGGCAATGGCTTCAAGGATTGAGGGCGGCTCGTTATCAACATGTGGCTCTCGCCATCGCGCCGCGCGCATTCGTTTCAGAAAACTGAGGCTTTGCACTAACCGAAAAGTGCGAGTAATAGTCGCAGTAATCGTAATCAAGGTGGTAGTAGTAATAGTAGTAGTAGTAGTAGCAGTAGTAGTAGTAGTAGTAGTCGTCGTAGCAATAGGAGCAGTAGTAGTAGTAGTAGTAGTAGTAGTAGTAGCAATAGTACTAAAATAATAGCAGCAGCAGCAGCAGCAGCAGCAGCAGCAGTAGTAGTAGTAGTAGTAGTAGTAGTAGTAGTAGTAGTAGTAGTAGTAGTGCTAGTAGTAGTAGTAGTAGTAGTAGTAGCAGTAGTGGTAGTAGTAGTAGTAGCAGAAACAACTGTCGTGGTAGTCGTCGTAAGAATTGTAGTCGTAGTCGTAGTAGTACTCGTGCTAGTGATAGAAGTAGTTTTGCTAGTAGTGGTAGCGATCGAAGTAGTAGTAATCGTCATCGTAATAATAGCAATCGTGAAAGAAATACTCTTAGTACTGATCGTCGTAGGAGTCGCAGTAGTAGTAGTAGTAGTAATAATAATAAAAATAAGAGTAGTAGTAGTAGTAGTAGTAGTAGCAGTAGTAGTCGTAGTCGCAATGGCAGTTGTAATAGTCTTAGAAGTATTGGCAGTAGAAATAGAAACACTAGTAATAGTATTAGTAGTAGTTGCAGTGGTAGTAACACTAATACAACTTGTTGCAGTAGGAGTTGTAGTAGTAGTAGTAGAAGTAGTAGTAGTCGTAATAGTAGCAGTAGTAGTAGTATTAGTAGTAGTAGTAGTCGTAGAAGCAGTACGGTGAGATCGTTGGTATTATTATCATTATGAGTAGTAGCAGTCGTAGTAGTAGTAGTAGTAGTCGTAGTAGTAGTAGTAGTAGTAGTAGTAGTAGTAGTAGTAGTTGCAGTAGTATCAGTGATGTTTTCATTCGTAACCGTAGTCGTGGTAGTCGTAGTCGCAGTAGTTGTAGTAGTAGCAGTAGTAGCAGTAGTCGTAGTAGTAGTAGTAGTACTATTAGCAAGAGTAGCGGTAGTACTAGACGTCGCAGCAGTAGTCGTAGTAGTAGTAGAAGTCGCAGTACCAGTAAACATAGTAGTAGTAGTATTAGTAGTAGTAATAGTAATAGTAGTAGTAGTAGTAGTAGTAATAGTAGTAGTAGTAGTAGTAGTAGTGGCAGTCGTAATAGTAGTCGTACTAGAAATAGTAGTAGTAGTGTCGTAGTAGTAGTAGTAGTAACAGCCGTAATAGTAGTGAACGTAGTAATAGCCGAAATCATAACAATGGTAAGCGTAAATATTAGAAGTCGGAATCGTCATCGTAGTAGTCGCAGCAGTAATAACTGTAGTGGCAGTGAAAGTAGCAGCAGCAGTGGCAATACGCATACAAACAGTAGCAGCAGTAGTCGTAGCCGTAGCTGTAGTACTAGTAGTAGTAGTAGTAGTAGTAGTAGTAGTAGTAGTAGTAGTGGTCGTAGCCGTAGTCGTAGTAGTAGTACTAGTAGCAATAGAAGTAGTAGTAGTAGTAGTAGAAGAAGAAGAAGTAGTATTCGTAGTACTAGAGTAGTAGTAGTAGTCGTAGTAGTAGTAGTAATAGTAGTAGTAGTAGTAGTAGTAGTGGTAGTAGTAGTAGTAAAGGTCGTTCAAAAGTAGTCGCAATGTGGTAAGGGTAGTAGTCGTAGTAGTGGTGGTACCACTAGTAGTAATTATACCAGTCGTCGTACTAGTAATAATACGAGTAGTGGTAGTAATAGTAGTAGTAATTGTAGTCGTAGTAGTAGTAATAGTAATCGTAAAAGTACTAAGACAGGTCGTAGAAGAAAGTAGTAGTAACAGATGTAGCCGTAGGAATCGTACTGTTAGTAGGAAGAGTAGCCGTAGTCGCAGCCGTAATAGCAGTAAGAACTGTAGTTGTAGTTGTAGTGGTAGTAGTAGTAGTAGTAGTAGTAGTAGTAGAAGTAGTAGTAGTGGTCGTAGTAATAGTATTCGTAGTAGTAGTA